GAAACACCAAAAGATGATGGAAGGAATACACAGAGTCACTGTACTAAAAAGAATTTGTCAGTGTTTATCCATTTCAGGAAGTGGCATATGATCAAGAACCAATGGTATTGAAGGAAGAAGTTGAAGCTGCGCTGAAAGAATGGGCAAAAAACAAGGCTCCAGGAGTTGACAGAATACCTATTGAGATGTTTCAACAAATGGATGCTGTACTGGAGGCACTCACTTGTCTGTGCCAAGAAATATGATAAGACTGGCCAGCTGACAGGAAGAGATCCATATTTATACCCGTTCCAAAGAAAAGTGTTCCCACAGAATGTGGAAATTATTAAACAATATCATTAAATCACACACAAGTAAAATCTTACCGAAGATAATTCAGAATCGGTTACAGCAGCCTATTGACAGAGAACTTCTAGAAATGCAAGCTGATTCAGAAAAGGACGAGGAATGAGGGATGTCATTGCTGATGTCAGATGGATCTTGGCTCAAAGCAAATTATATCAGAAAGATGTTTACTTGTGTTTCATTGATTATGCAAAAGCATTCGATTGTGTGGATCATAACAAATTATGGATAACATTGACAAGAACAGGAATTCCAGAACACTTAATTGTTCCCATGAGGAACTTGTATATAGACTAGGAGGCTGTCCTTCCAACAGAACAAGGGACACTGAATGGTTTAAAAATGAAGAAGGGAGTGTGTCAGGGTTGTATCCTTTCACCATACTTATTCAGTCTGTATGCTGAGCAAATAATCCAAGAAGCTGGACTATATGAAGAAGAGCGTAGCATCAGGATTGGAGGAAGACTCATTAGCAACCTGTGATATGCAGACAACACAACCTTGCTTGCTGAAAGTGAAGATGGCTTGAACCACTTACTGATGAGGATTAAAGACTACAGTCTTCAATATGGATTATACTTCAACGTACAGAAAACAAAAATGCTCACAACTGGATCAATAAGCTGGATCAATAAGCAGCATCACTATAAATGGAGAAAAGATTAAAGTTATCAAAGATTTCGTATTACTTGGTTTCGCAATCAACACCAATGGAAGTAGCAGTCAAGAAAGCAGACATCATGCAGAAAAATGAAACAAGACCTATACCTCACACCATACAAAAAACTAACTCCAGATGGATCAAAGACTTAAGTGTGAAACCCAAAACTATAAAGTTCCTCAAGGAAAAACTAGGGGCAAATTTAGGGACCCTAATATATGGCATAAATAGACTATCAAGCACAACCCAAAATGCACAAATAGCAGAAGAGAAACTAGATGAATGGGACCTTCTAAAATTTAAATTTTTATGTGCTTCCAAAGACTTCTCCAAAAGAGTCAAAAGAGAACCTACAGATTGGGAAAAAATATTTGGCAATGACATAGCTGACAAGGGACTTATCTCTAGAATTTATAGAAAACTCCAACACCTCAACAGCAAAAAGACAAATAATCCAATTAAAAAATGGGCAGAAGACACGAATAGACACTTCATTAAAGAGGATATTCAGGCGGCCAACAAACATATGAAGAAATACTCACAATCACTAGCAATTAGAGAGATGCAAATCAAAACAACAGTGAGATACCATCTGGCCCCAGCACTAGTAGCAAAGTTCAACATGACAGAAAATAACAAATGCTGGCGAGGATGCAGAGAGATTGGGACTCTCATACACTGCTGGTGGGACTGTAAAATGGTACAACCACTGTGGAAAGCAGTATGGCGATTCCTTAAAAAGTTAGAAATAGAAATACCATTTGACCAGCCATTCCATTACTAGGTATATATCCTAAAGAAGTGAGAGCCATGACAAGAACAGACATATGCATATCCATGTTCATTGCAGCACTATTTACAATAGCCAAAAGATGGGAACAACCTAGGTGTCCACCAACTGAGGAATGGATAACCAAACTATGGTACATACACACAATGGAATACTATGCAACCCTAAAGAATAACATAGAATCTGCAAAGCACCACATAACGTGGATGAACTTGGAGGACATTGTGCTGAGTGAAATAAGTCAATCACAGAAGGACAAATATTGTATTAGTCCGTTATTGTAAGTCAAGGAAAGGTTTATCTGTGGAAAGAAATTTTCTTTGTTGGTTACCAGGGGTGGGAAGGGTGGGTAGGGAACACTGTTAAATAGGTAGAGATAAATATTGATTTGGGTGAAGAGAAGGGCAATGTACCAAATGTGAATGATCAACATGATGGCATTGAGGAAGAGAAAGACATAGAGAGGCATATGGAAGGTGCAGACAACAAAGATGAACCTTTTGCACATACAGTACTGCATTGTCGGTGAAGGCAAACATGGGTATATGGGTGGATAGATAGGTGGACAGGCTAAACTATTAGGTATGTCTACACAGCAGGGAGTGTACCCAAGACCATGTATAGGGCTGACAGACAATGATTCTACAAGTGTATTTGTATGTTCTATAAGAATTCCCAGGTGTACAGTAGAGCTGACAAGGGACAAGGTTGTAGTCACTTCTTGGTCATAACCAGCTACCCAGAGGGACCGAGTAGTTGAACCTGTGGGCTCGGGACCATAGTCGCAGGGGATATCAAGCTCAACTGGCATAACATACTACATAAAACATTGTTCCACCTTCTACTTTGGCGAGTAGTGACCTGGATCTTAAAAGCTTGCAAGCAGCCATCTAGATGCAACGATGGGTCTCTCCTCTTTCAGAGCAAAGAAGAATGAAGAAAACCAAAGATTCACAGAATCAATTAGTCCAAGCGACTGGTACATCATGCAATCCTCAGCCTATACGACTATGAGACCAGAAGAACTAGATGGTACCTGGCTACCACTATCAGCCACTCAGAGGGGGATCTAAGTAGGAGATCCTGGACAGAGAGGGAGAACAATGTGGAACAAAACTCAGAATCATTTGGGAAAAAAAAAATAGGGGAGGGGACCAGGTTTGCTGGTCTGATAGAGCTGGTGGAACCACTGAGACTATGGCCCCTAATTGCCCTTCAGGTCTGGAATTGAACCCACACCTGTGGCTTCCAGCCAAACAAAAGACAGGCATATGAGTTGAACATTTACCTGAGGTAGATACACTCCTTGGAGAGAACAATCATGGGAGAAAGAAGGGCTGTTTATGCACAGGGAGACAGCTCAGGGGACAGGAGGGCACGGAGGGATGGACACAGGGAAAAGGTGACTGTCGGGAGGAAGTGGGAGGGGAGCTGTTGCATTGGGATAAATTGTAGTCAATGTTATGAGACAAAGTGTATGTGAACTGCTGTATGGAAAGTGAATTTGTTCTGTAAACTTCCCCCCAAATCACAATTTAAAAAAACAAACAAACAGACATTGTATTGCACTGGAAAAATCTGGAAAAGACCTCTTTCAAAGGTCTTTGCGCTTTACTAAAGAGTAAAGATGTCTCTTTGAAGACTAAGATGTGCCTGACCCAAGCCATAGTATTTTCAGAAGTGCAGCTGGAATGCTCCTTGGAAGTGAGAATGGCCAGACTTCGTCTCACCTACTTTGGTCATACTGTCAGAAGGGACCACTCCCTGGAGAAGGATATCATGCTTGGTAAAGTGGAGGGTGAGTGATAAAACGGAAGACCCTCAACGAGATGGATTGATACAATGGCTGTAACGATGGGCTCAGGTATAGCAAGGATTGTGAGGCTGGTGCAGGACTGGGCAGTGTTTCATTCTGTTGTTTGTGGGGTTGCTATGAGTCAGAGCTGATTCAAGGGCACCTAACAACAACAACAACAACACATGCATGTGAAAGGTGGACAACGAATAAGGAAGACTGAAGGAGTTGATGCTTTTAAGTTGTGGTGTTGGTGAAGAATACTGAAAGTACCATGGACTGCCAGAAGAACTAACAGATCTGTCCCAGAAGAATTGCAGCTGCAGTGCTCCTTGGAAGCGAGAATGGCCAGGGTTCATGTCACCTATTTGGTTGTATTGTCAGAAGGGACCATTCCCTGGAGAAGGATGTCATGCTTGGAAAGTGGAGGGTCAACAAAACAGGAGAAGGCCCTCAAAAAGATACATTGACACAGTGGCTGTAACGATGGGCTCAGGTATAGCAAGGATTGTGAGGCTGGTGCAGGACTGGGCAGTGTTTCATTCCGTTGTACGTGGGATCACTACGAATCAGAGCTGACTCAACAGCACCCAGCGACAACATCCAGACTAAGACAGACTAGGAAAAGGGTCTGGCAACTTGCTTCTGAAAATCAGCCAATGAGAACCTAGGAATCACAACACAAGGTTGTCTGACAGTGCTGGAAGATGAGCCCGTCAGGTTGGAAGGAACTCAAAATATCTGGGGAAGAGCTGCTTCCTCAAAGTAGATCCCACCTTAATTAAATGATGGAATAAAGCCTCTGAACCTTCATTTACTGATGTGGCAAGACTCAAAATAAGAAACAGCAGCTGTAAATATCCATTAATAATTGAAATGCTTGGTAAAGTAGAGGGTTAGCGATAAAAAGAGACCCTCAATGATATGGACTGATACGGTGGCTGCCACAGTAGGCTCAAACGTAACAACAACTGTGAGGATGGCACACGACCGGGCAATGTTTCGTTCTGTTATTACCTAAGGTCGCTGTGAGTCTGAGCCAACTCAATGGCACCTAACAACAACATGTTTTGCCGTCGAGTCGGACCCGACTCATAGTGACCGCTCCTTGGGTTTCCGAGGCAGTATCACTACGGAAGTAGATTGCCCAACCTTCCTTCTGAGCATAGGATAGTCAATCAAAACAGCCTGAAGACCACTGCTCTGGTAGAAAGCATATAGATTTTGGAGTGAATGTAGGCTTGGGTTCTAATCTCAACTCAGTCCCTTGCAAGTCCACCGGCAAATAATCAATTGCTCTGAATCTTGGTTTCCTCTGGTGTAAAATGGGGATGGTGGCATCTGCCCCAAGTTGCTCTAAAGCTGGGGTAGAGCCCAACAGAGGACAGCTGTTCCTTCTCTTTCCTTACCTTGCCACTGATGGGGTTCTTCTCGGCCCGGATCACGTTGCCCACCATTTCACAGAAGCCCACTCCGTTTGGCAGCTCGTTTGGCCTATACTTGTTAAATTCAGGATACTGGTACAGCTCCGCTAGCAGATTTTTATCTGCTGTTTTCTAAGGGAAACAAAGGAAAGGAATCTAAAAATGGGCTCCATCATTCTGGCAGTTTCAAACAATAAGATACCTTCCCCTTTTTATTATAAAGACTCTATAACAACCGTATAGGAGCTCTGGTAGCATAGTGCCTAAGGCACTTGACTGCTAACCAGAAGGCTGGCAGTTCAAACCCACCAGCCACTCCTCGGAAGGAAGGT